TTCCAGCTGAAACTGTGAAAACTAAGCTCACTCATTGACATGAGTGGGAATCAGGTGTTCAGGCTCTGTGACTTGGCTGATCGTGTCATCGTAACCTGAGGGCATGTGATGGTGATCATGCTATCAACCACTGGTTTGTCTGACACAGAACAGCTTCTTTACAGCCAGTGTTAAAAATAAAGACAGTCGGTCTATTTACTGACGGAAGATCAGTTTTTAAAAGTTGCATGCCCGAATGTCGGGAGTTTAATAATATTAACACGTTGACAATCCACAAGTTTATTTTTATTATCTGAGACCTAACATTAAACAGTACTATTTTTATGTTTACCCTTTTGATAACTTTGTTTGTTAGTCTAGAAATTCCCGACTGGCAATATTTTATCTTGTCTAGTAACTTTGCAATGTTGCCAGTCCGGTTGTGAGACTGAAACTTTGTGGAATTTTATACACTGTTACAAGCCAGCACTGTAATATTGCTCACTAAGGCACAAAACAACAAAACACTCTTATCTTGTTTACAAATTGTTGTAAGACTACCAAAACCACTGAAAACAATACTCACTCAACCCAATCTCATCCTACACGTCACACTGATTTGAAGAAAACTAAGAAATCACACAATCATTCATCGTGAATATTTGACATGGTTCCCCTGTATCAAGGTATAGGCAACAGTAAAAGATACCCTCCATGGTTTAGTCAGTCAACATGAGTAACACCAACATGTAACACATAGCTTTAAAACTCCCATCCAAATACACCAAGGGCAGAGAGCACATGCTCCTGATGGGGATACCTCTTAACACAGATCATGTAAAATAAGATGGTGGGTAATCTGCAGTGGATATTTAACGGTGAAAATAACAGGTGTACACACTTCCCCAGAAGCGAACAGAATAATGCTGAAAACGCCTGCAGAAGAGAGGTTAATCCATGGTATTGTTGGCACATGCCAGTTGAGAATAGTTCCTCGCAGGCTGAGACCATGTGCGACATTGTTCACAAACCAAGGATTACCAGGAGTGTGTTTCATCGGTAATAAATCTCATAATACTCTAAATTCCTAAGAAGTTAAACATGTAGAAGCGATTTTTTTTGCAGCATCAACTGTTCCATCACTTCTGAAATAGTTCAGTTTCTTAATTGCATTCCATGCTTCAGATTCAATTACAAAACAAACATTCAATCAAATACAGACAGTTTTGTGGACAAATCAAAGTTGCTGTTAGGTCCTCAAAGTTCTTATCCCACATAATTATTTTGATTTCATTATCTTTTCATCTTAGAAGGTCATTAATCTGTTCTTATTAGTCAAAATAATTCAGAAGACTTCATTTACATTCCATAAAAAAATCCAATGTATTGCAAAAAATTACTTCATTGTCTTCACTTTTTCCTAACACTGACAGAGCTGAAGTAATACAATTGGTCTCTGCCACTGAAGTGTTAATATTAATGGAGCAAAAACAATTCGATTGCATACCATGTCATCAATCTTGAACTGCAATGCTCAGATATTTGAAATTATCTCATCAATCTGTCCCCGATTTTTTTTAAAGGCTTTCTTGAGTAGAGAAATAATTATTTGGAGATTGAACGATCTTACCACAAGGAGGTAATCAAAGCGCAGATATCTTAAACCTGACATTTCAGACCAATCACAAGAAGTGTGTTTACAATACAATCAGATGATAAATGTAAAATTTACAAGCCACTTGGTGACAGAGATTGCAATGACTGGCCCATCTGATAGGAGACCAAATGGTGATCCAGGCACCTAACAGATCAGCCAGAAGACATGACAGCCCATGACCATGTCAGCTTCCAGAACACACCGGATCACAGAGTCAGAAGTCGGCCTACACAACAGCTTCTAAATTATACAAATCAATGAAGTAGTTTATAATTCCTTTCATATTGTTTGAATGCTGATTTCTATGTCCAAACATAACACTGTCACTGGGTAGGAGGAGACAGTTCAGTTACTTGAATGAGAATTGACTTGCCACAATGGCTGGAAAGGGACTTGATGGGTGATTTGATGGTGCACTGAACCAAGGCTCCTTTTCCCCCAGTAGACTAACATATAGTCTCTGAAATCAACATATCGTACAGAAAAAACAGTTGTTCAGTTATCTTAATAAAAATATAATAAAAAGGGAGCCCAGTGATTCTCTTCATGATACTGCAGTAATCTAGACTTGCCAAACATTATAGACTTGCATGGGCTGTAGTTGATATATTTGTATCAGGGTCTGTAAGACAGACTTTCCCCCCAGCTGTCTGGTCAAGTAGAACCTACAACCCTAAACACTCTTGTCCTGTAAATGATGTACTATTACAGCAAGCACTGCTACTATTGCAGCTACTACTACTTCTACTACTACTACTGCTGCTGCAGTTGCTGCTGCTCTTTCTGCTACTTCTGCAGCAGTATCTGCTGCTACTACTACAGCTGCTACCTCTGGTGCTGTTACTGCTACTACTATTGCTGTTGCTACTACTACTACTACTACAGTTGCCACTGCTACTACTATTGCTGCTGCTGCTACTACTACTACTACTACTGCTGCTATCACTACTACTACTACTACTGCTGCTGCTGCTGCTGCTTTCACTACTACTACTACTACTGCAGATATTATTACTACTGATACTGATGCAACTACTACTACTGATACTACCACTGCTGTTGCTACACAAATTTTCATGCTTTCAAAAGTAATAAAATGTAAATCATTAAAATAATTAAAATCAGATCTTGTACACTGATATGATACCTCTCTGCATGAACATCTGAGGATACCTCCATCAGGTTAACTTTCTAACCGGCCAATCAGGGAAGTATTCAGACCAGCTGAGCCATTCTGATTTCTGCATCTCAAAAATAAATATAATTGGGGAGCTCCAAATGACAAAAACAACAAATCATATCTAGACTATAGTGTTGCAGGGCACATTTTATACATCCATTCATTCTCTGACCACCATGGACCCGTTAAGATCCTGGGTAGAATAGGTCTTCAGCAACCCATACTTGCCGTAAAAGGCGACTTTGCGCTGACTTGGTTGATGCATGTCATGGATCCAGTGTGCGTGGATCGATGCTCATGATATTAATCACTCGATTGTCTGGTCCAGACTCAATTATTTACAGACCGCCATCATATAGCTGGAATAACAAACTAACCAACTAACTGAACACCATGACATCTCTATTCAAATGGTTGCTCTATTGAGGAAATATTTGTGTTGCTAAGATCCAAATTTCAAACTGATGTAGTGAAGAAATGAAGACAAACATTTGAGAAAGTTGACATCTGATTGGCTCAAGAACCCAGCATCCTTCATAGTTCCAAAGCACACTCAGAATTCACCTGACATGACTTTCTGACTTGAGGTCTTCATACAGAGAGCTACAGTATGGGAGTGAAGATCTGATTTTAATGAGGCAGCAATACCCCCAAATGAGTGAATACATAATGTTATCCCCGCTAACACATCACTCTGGAATGCTATGATGTCATGATACAATGGGTGAAATGCCATGTTTCCATGACAACTGAACCTGCCAGGTTAAGTAGTAGAATGTACAGAAAAATAAACTTAATGAAGTTTTTGGGAGAAATATCAATCACATGCAATACATAATGCATATGATATTCATGTCGCCAAGGAGAAACTTGTTTTCAAGAAAGTATTCATATCCAGTTAAGAGTCCAGCAGATTTCCAGACTTCCAATACTTGCTTTTTAACCATATAAATGCAACACACACTCCTATTTGTTTTACAATGATAGCTAAATATATAATAATTTGGTAATCTTAAGAAATATGCTCTATAAAGAGAAAGCATGCATGCTGAATGAATGCATAGTAATTCTAACATGATTAGAATGTGCAGGATTGGCTTTACCGCATCTTGCTCACATGGGAATATTTGACAGAAAGAAAATCTCGAAAATTATGTTAAAAAAGCATTATTAATTTAAAAACCCTGCGTTATTAAATTATCAAATGAATTATTGATGATACTGATGCAGTTTGCTCTGCATGTATTTGGTTTATTAAGAAAAGCAAAGAATTCTCATAAACCTGAAGCAAAGATTGCTTCGCAGCTAGCTACCCCAGCCGGAATATCTCAACACAGGCCACGTGGGATTTAAAGTCCTTCTCATCACCAACTTCCTATGTGTCTGTTTTCTTTGATTATTTGAGATCTCACTTATACTCTGGATGTCTGTCAAAAGAACCTGCACAACTTGCATCAACTCTTCCCACGTGTTTTTTTTCCTTTTAACCAGATTTATGTTTGCCTCATATGTCCCACTTACACGCCTAATTACACAATTAACTGCACAGTCAAACTTAAGGCAACCCTCCTGGAAGTAATGCTGCTAAATGTCTTGAGACACCGCTGGCCCCGTGCCCCCTCTTAGATCATCTAAGCAAGTTTTTCAGTAAGTATAATATTACATTTCCCATGTGTTTATTTATCGGTCCAGGATTCCATTTTGCCAGCCTTTGTTAGGAAGACAAGTTTCTGAATAAACAGAATTTTTCTATCATTACCATCACATGCCAGGTCTGCCATCTTTGACACCGTAAAGAAATGTTGGTTTCCGGAAATTATACATAACTTGTACAGATAAGCTTCAGTGAGGTTTAGAGGCATTACATAGTGAAAGTAAATCTGAATCTGTTGATTAGTTCAGTATTTTTGTCAACTCATTTGTCAATCAGTATATCTATATATCTTTTGTGAAGTATGATATTTACAGATATAACATAATTATAGTATATTTGGGATTACACTTGCATATCAAAGTACAATTTCTAGTACTTCTGTGGGTGGAGTCCCATCTGGGACTCGAACCCAGCACAAATGTCAGTGGCCCAATCGACTTAGCCACCAAAGATTCCACAACATGGCAATGGTAGTCTAGATCACATACTTTGTCAGTTTGAATCCTGGTTGAGACAGGCTGCTGAACACAATGGCTGATGGGAACACGATGCAGAGCACTACGGCTAATGGGAAAAGGATGCAGACCACTACGGCTAATGGGGACACGATGCAGAGCACTACAGCTAATGGGAAAAGGATGCAGACCACTACGGCTAATGGGGACAGGATGCAGAGCAGTATGGCTAATGGAGACAGGATGCAGACCACTATGGCTTATGGGAAAAGGATGCAGACCACTACGGCTAATGGGAACACGATACAGAGCAGTATGGCTAATGGAGACAGGATGCAGACCACTATGGCTTATGGGAAAAGGATGCAGACCACTATGGCTAATGGGGACAGGATGCAGACCACTACGGCTTATGGGAACAGGTTGCAGAATACTATGGCTTGCGGGGACAGGTTGCAGAATACTATGGCTTGTGGGGACAGGATGCAGACCACTATGGCTTATGGGCACAGGATGCAGACGACTATGGCTTGTGGGGACAGGATGCAGACCACTATGGCTAATGGGGACAGGATGCAGACCACTACGGCTTATGGGAACAGGTTGCAGAATACTATGGCTAATGGGGACAGGTTGCAGAACACTATGGCTAATGGGGACAGGATGCAGACCACTATGGCTTATGGGCACAGGATGCAGACGACTATGGCTTGTGGGGACAGGATGCAGACCACTATGGCTAATGGGGACAGGATGCAGACCACTATGGCTTATGGGCACAGGATGCAGACGACTATGGCTTGCGGGGACAGGTTGCAGAATACTATGGCTTGTGGGGACAGGATGAAGACGACTATGGCTTGTGGGGACAGGATGCAGACCACTACGGCTAATGGGCACAGGATGCAGAATACTATGGCTAATGGGGACAGGATGCAGAACACAATGGCCTAAGGGGACAGGATGCAGACCACTATGGCTTGTTGGGAAAGGATGCAGACCACTATGGCTTGTGGGGACAGGATGCAGACCACTATGGCTTGTGGGCACAGGATGCAGAATACTATGGCTTGTGGGCACAGGATGCAGAATACTATGGCTTGTGGGGACAGGATGCAGACCACTATGGCTTGTGGGCACAGGATGCAGAATACTATGGCTTGTGGGGACAGGATGCAGAACACTATGGCTTGTGGGCACAGGATGCAGAATACTATGGCTTGTGGGGACAGGATGCAGAACACTATGGCTTGTGGGGACAGGATGCAGAACACTATGGCTTGTGGGCACAGGATGCAGAACACTATGGCTTGTTGGGAAAGGATGCAGACCACTCTAGGTAATAGGGACAGGATGCAGAATACTATGGCTTGTTGGGAAAGGATGCAGACCACTATGGCTAATGGGGACAGGATGCAGAACACTATGGCTTGTTGGGACAGGATGCAGAATACTATGGCTTGTGGGGACAGGATGCAGACCACTATGGCTAATGGGGACAGGATGCAGACCACTACGGCTTGTTCGGACAGGATGCAGAATACTATGGCTAATGGGGACAGGTTGCAGAACACAATGGCTAATGGGGACAGGATGCAGACCACTATGGCTAATGGGGACAGGATGCAGAACACTATGGCTTGTGGGGACAGGTTGCAGAATACTATGGCTAATGGGGACTGGATGCAGACCACTACGGCTAATGGGGACTGGATGCAGACCACTATGGCTTATGGGAACAGCTTGCAGAATACTATGGCTTGCAGGGACAGGTTGCAGAATACTATGGCTTGTGGGGACAGGATGAAGACGACTATGGCTTGTGGGGACAGGATGCAGACCACTACGGCTAATGGGCACAGGATGCAGAATACTATGGCTAATGGGGACAGGATGCAGAACACAATGGCTTAAGGGGACAGGATGCAGACCACTATGGCTAATGGGGACAGGATGCAGAATACTATGGCTTGTTGGGAGAGGATGCAGACCACTATGGCTTGTGGGGACAGGATGCAGACCACTATGGCTTGTGGGCACAGGATGCAGAATACTATGGCTTGTTGGGAAAGGATGCAGACCACTCTAGGTAATAGGGACAGGATGCAGAACACTATGGCTTGTTGGGACAGGATGCAGACCACTATGGCTAATGGGGACAGGATGCAGAACACTATGGCTTGTTGGGACAGGATGCAGACCACTATGGCTAATGGGGACAGGATGCAGAACACTATGGCTTGTGGGGACAGGATGCAGAACACTATGGCTTGTGGGGACAGGATGCAGAATACTATGGCTTGTGGGGACAGGATGCAGAACACTATGGCTTGTTGGGACAGGATGCAGAACACTATGGCTTGTGGGGACAGGTTGCAGACCACTATGGCTAATGGTAACAGAGTTGCAGAATACTATGGCTTGTTGGGACAGGATGCAGACCACTATGGCTAATGGGGACAGGATGCAGACCACTACGGCTTGTTGGGACAGGATGCAGAATACTATGGCTTGCAGGGACAGGTTGCAGAACACAATGGCTAATGGGGACAGGATGCAGACCACTATGGCTAATGGGGACAGGATGCAGAACATTATGGCTTGTGGGGACAGGTTGCAGAATACTATGGCTAATGGGGACAGGTTGCAGAACACAATGGCTAATGGGGACAGGATGCAGAACACTATGGCTTGTGGGGACAGGATGCAGAACATTATGGCTAATGGGGACAGGATGCAGACCACTATGGCTAATGTGGATAGGATGCAGAACACTATGGCTTGTGGGGACAGGTTGCAGAATACTTCGGCAAATGGGGACAGGATGCAGACCACTATGGCTAATGGGGACAGGATGCAGAATACTATGGCTTGAGGGGACATGATGCAGAACACTATGGCTAATGGGGACAGGATGCAGAATACTATGGCTTGTGGGGACAGGATGCAGAATACTATGGCTTGTTGGCACAGGATGCAGACCACTATGGCTAATGCGACAGGATATGCAGAACACTATGGCTTGTGGGGACAGGTTGCAGAATACTACGGCAAATGGGGACAGGATGCAGAACACTATGGCTAATGGGGACAGGATGCAGAATGCTATGGCTAATGGGGACAGGATGCAGAATACTATGGCTTGTGGGGACAGGATGCAGAACATTATGGCTAATGGGGACAGGATGCAGACCACTATGGCTAATGGGGACAGGATGCAGAACACTATGGCTTGTGGGGACAGGTTGCAGAATACTATGGCTAATGGGGACAGGATGCAGACCACTATGGCTAATGGGGACATGATGCAGAATACTAAGGCTTGTGGGGACAGGATGCAGACCACTATGGCTAATGGGGACAGGATGCAGAATACTAAGGCTTGTGGGGACAGGATGCAGAACATTATGGCTAATGGGGACAGGATGCAGACCACTATGGCTAAAGGGGACAGGATGCAGAACACTATAGCTTGTGGGGACAGGTTGCAGAATACTATGGCTAGAGGGACAGGATGCAGACCACTATGGCTTGTGGGGACAGGATGCAGACCACTATGGCTAATGGGGACAGGATGCAGACCACTATGGCTAATTGGGACAGGATGCAGAACACTAGGGCTTGTGGGGACAGGATGCAAAATACTATGGCTAATGGGGACAGGATGCAGAATACTAAGGCTTGTGGGGACAGGATGCAGAACATTATGGCTAATGGGGACAGGATGCAGACCACTATGGCTAATGGGGACAGGATGCAGAACACTATAGCTTGTGGGGACAGGTTGCAGAATACTATGGCTAGAGGGACAGGATGCAGACCACTATGGCTTGTGGGGACAGGATGCAGAACACTATGGCTTGTCGGCACAGGATGCAGAATACTATGGCTTGTGGGGACAGGATGCAGACCACTATGACTAATGGGGACAGGATGCAGAATACTATGGCTTGTGGGGACAGGTTGCAGAACACAATGGCTAATGGGGACAGGATGCAGAATACTATGGCTTGTGGGGACAGGATGCAGAATACTATGGCTTGTTGGCACAGGATGCAGACCACTATGGCTTGTGGGGACAGGATGAAGAACACTATGGCTTGTGGGGATAGGATGCAGACGACTATGGCTAATGGGGACAGGATGCAGACCACTACGGCTTGTTGGGACAGGATGCAGAACATTATGGCTAATGGGGACAGGATGCAGACCACTATGGCTAATGGGGACAGGATGCAGAACACTATGGCTTGTGGGGACAGGATGCAGAATACTATGGTTAATGGGGACAGGTTGCAGAACACAATGGCTTGTGGGGACAGGATGCAGAATACTATGGCTAATGGGGACAGGTTGCAGAACACAATGGCTTGTGGGGAAAGGATGCAGACCACTATGGCTAATTGGGACAGGATGCAGAACACTAGGGCTTGTGGGGACAGGATGCAAAATACTATGGCTAATGGGGACAGGTTGCAGAACACAATGGCTTGTGGGAACAGGATGCAGAACACTATGGCTTGTGGGGACAGGATGCCGGATACTATGGCTTGTGGGGACAGGTTGCAGAACACAATGGCTTGTGGGAACAGGATGCAGAATACTATGGCTAATGGGGACAGGATGCAGACCACTATGGCTAATGGGGACAGGATGCAGAATACTATGGCTTGTTGGGAAAGGATGCAGACGACTATGGCTTGTGGGGACAGGATGCAGACCACTATGGCTAATGGGGACAGGATGCAGAATACTATGGCTTGTGGGGAAAGGATGCAGAACACTATGGCTTGTGGGCACAGGATTCAGACCACTATGGCTTGTGGGGACAGGATGCAGAATACTATGGTTTGTTGGGAAAGGATGCAGAATACTATGGCTTGTGGGGACAGGATGCAGACCACTATGGCTTGTGGGGACAGGATGCAGAACACTATGGCTTGTGGGGACAGGATGCAGAACACTATGGCTTGTAGGGGCAGGATCAGAACCAGCAGCATGCACCTTACAGTTAATACTAGCTGTCATGAAGAGGCTCTGGTCCAGCAGAATGCACTTTACAGTTAATACTAGCTGTCATGAAGAGGCTCTGGTCCAGCAGAATGCACCTTACAGTTAATACTAGTTGTCATGAATAGGCTTTGGTCCTGCAGAATGCACCTTACAGTTGATACTAGCTGTCATGAAGAGGTTCTGGTCCTGTAGAATGCACCTTACAGTTGATACTAGCTGTCATGAAGAGGTTCTGGTCCTGTAGAATGCACCTTACAGTTAATACTAGCTGTCATGAAGAGGCTCTGGTCCAGCAGAATGCACCTTACAGTTAATACTAGCTGTCATGAAGAGGCTCTAGTCCTGCCCGAATGCACCTTACAGTTAATACTAGCTGTCATGAAGAGGCTCTAGTCCTGCAGAATGCACCTTACAGTTAATACTAGCTGTCATGAATGGGCTGCTACTGTGCTGTACACACAAAGCCCAATCTGCGGATACAGATATATCCCAGAAGCTGCCAAGGTTTACTGAGGACAGCAGCATACATGAAGAAATGACATCTCGTACATCTGTCACTTCCTGTTTATGACATTCCGTTCTGCAGAAGCCTGTTACACGAGCAATGTGACTGTTAGCTTAGTTGACATAGGTATGATACAGGATAACAACAGGATTACTTTACGTTATCACATGTTGTGGCCATGTTAGGCTACTTATAGTGCTCTGAAATTTACTGATTGTGGCATGACAATGAAAAGAATCAGGAAGGTTGTTCATTCATCACACAGTTGCCTTACAGTGTTTAAATAAACTCATAGTTCACAGATACCGATATGTAAGAGCATGAGTGCAGGTGGGTGAAGGACAGATTGAAATGACCCAAAATATTTTTTTAGTTCTCATATAAATAAACATTCTGTGAGAGTATGACCTTGAGAATAACCTTCATTTGTCATGTAAGTGATGGAAGTCAAAACAATTGTCAAGGATCTGAGGGAGACATAATTAACATGCTTAACATAGTGTCCCTGAAATGTCTGATCACTTGCACCCATGGATGGCAAACTCAAGTGAAACATTTGATAATTCTCAAGGTGTCTTTTTTAACTTTGGTTTACAGCATAGCTACTGGAAACAAAAATAGAAACCGATTCCTTCAAAATATTGACAGTTGGGGGAAATACAAACAAATAAAAGGACAGAATATATGCAGTGAAGAAATAAGTACATGGTCTGCTTTGAAGGTTTCTTTCTTCACTGAAATTCGGCAGACAAAAACTGTTTTTTAGGTTTCATCTACATTTGATGGTTAAGTTATTCAAGGTTAGCTTTAACATGTGTTATACAGAATAATACCGTGGATACGCAAAGCCACTGTGAAAGCCCAGGGATTTGTGTATAGCATGGATTAGTGGAGAATGTTGTATGTCATAGGTGAAACTGTAAAACCTTGGGGGAGCCCAAGATCTAGGTTTTACATTTTCAACCAAAACCGAGCAGGATTTTTTAAAATAACTAATGAACCATCTAAAAGCAACATATACCAGAAAGAATAAGACCACATTCGGAAGACCAATAGTGAAAAAAACACAGTAGTCACGGTATAAAATGAAAGAAATACATGTGATGCATGCTGACAACTGAAGTCATGACATGAAAGATTGAACACCTTTTCATCACCTGCCCCGGTGGAAAAACAGAGGGTTACAATACTAAACATAATATGTAAGGTTACAGGTTCAATTCACATTGCAATTTTCAGGTGAATTTATTTTTACTTTTAACAAGCCAAAAATCAACATTAGACATATCAAAGGCGGTTTTATACAATTCAACTGTGAAACCTAGGCCTTACAATTCAAATGTAAAATCTCCAAGCAGGTCTTACAATTTAAATGTAAAGCCTCTCTGCAGCTCTTGATAGTAGTACTTCTCACAAGGTTGCTAAGAAATAGCAAGATACCTTCAATACCAAAGGCAACTGAAGCAATAGGTTTATATAGTGCTAGCCCACTGAGGTAAGCATGTCACAGTTTAGCATGCTGAGTCCTCGTCTTATCACCTTAACATCAAGCGGCAGGCAGGGTTTTGGTATGACATTGCCAGGGGATCGAACCACCGATCTTCCACTCTCAAGGCTGACGCTCTATCAACTTGGCCACGGAGGCAGTCTGGTTAAATCTAGCCGTCAAAACTACTTACATGGGAACCACCAACAACCACTTATAATCACATGATGTGTGTTTAGACGGGGAATATCTCCAACACCCTATCCATCACAATTCCGACAACACAACACAAGATCGGCCCTCCAACAATAACACCTGGCCTTACTTCAAGTAAAAACAACTCTCGACACTGGTCATGCTCCATTAAGAACAATTTGCCCGCTTCCAATGTTGAGTTTTCATCTGGCATGTACCGCTGTGTGTCTTGCATCTTCTGGATATAATTTATGTGTATCTTGATGTTCATAACTTTCAACATTACCATTACAGCTGCTCCACTGGTAATAGGTTGAGATGGCTATTTGTGCAACAGGTTATACCGAGGCAGGAGGTCGGACAGTCACCTGTACCACGAGGATCAGTGGGCCTCCTCAACCTGCAGATCACAGCTGCTGGAGAAACATGTCAACATGGGGAGCCAGACTAAAACTTAGTCTCTGAAACTTTATAATTTTGATAAAACATTTATATTGAAAAGGAGGCCCTGAGTGAGAACAATCTAGACTTGCTTCATTTAGGGCTCATGCATTACAGTAAGGGCTGGGCAGATGGGAAAATAATATGGTTCAGGGACTGTGAGACAGACTAGGGGAGCCATACAGGTTTTATGTGGGAAGTGGAATTGGTGAGTTTAACCCGTTCCAGCAATCAATGCTTGAGGTTACATACCTGTGTAATGAAGAGGTTCCTGAACTGAGACACGGTCGGGATTGTAATCACAGTTCCTGATTACATTCATACATGGATATACCTGTCATGTGGTTTATGAGTGCAGCTCCTGTGTATAGTGTCAGTATTTGAAGACAATATGCAGTTGAACCAAGAAAGAACAGGCATATGTGAGTTGAGTGAGTGAGTGAGTGAGTGAGTGAGTGAGTGAGTGAGTGAGTGAGTGAGTTGAGTGAGTTGAGTGAGTGAGTGAGTGAGTGAGTGAGTGAGTGAGTGAGTGAATATGGTTTATGCCACTTTTAGCAATATGACAACAAACATTACGGCGGGACAAACAAGCATATGAGATGGAGTGAGTTTCATTACATGTCACCAAGTTTACAGTCTGGCTGTACAAGCTGAAGTCATCAATGGCCTAAACGATTGTATGTCTACAATAAAATATGGGGTTCACAGAAGTCTTACCGCTCCGATGGTTTTGTACAACTTGGTGAAGAAGTGATTGAGTCAAGAGAGAATGTGTTAGTTTCATGCCAGCTGTCAGGAAGATTACAGACATGAATTGCATGGGAGTACAATAGTCATAGGACAATGCTGTTTGTGCAGGTAGGCACTGAGTGGCCCGTACAGTAATTCACCTTGAACCAGACAAACCTGCCTGGTATAATAACACATTCTCTTTCAGGCAGAACCTTGTCTTTCTTGGTAGTTACCCAACCTTGTAATATTAACAAGTCAACACTACCCAATACCAACCCATACATAGGCACCAATCATTTATTAGGCACCAACCATTTTATTTACAGGAAGGTATGGGGCTTGGATTTTTAAAGAGAGTAATTTTTAATTTTTTTTAAACTTCTGAGGTTTTACCACACACACGCAAAATGTTAGCTGGATATATACCGGATGTTCTGAAAACACATTTCTTCTGTTTTATTTAAAAATTGCATGTTTTTAAGCAGTGTCTCAGATTTATCACATCAGGGTAAAAGATCTGATTTTGTGATTTGAGATTGCAGTGCCACCAATCTGTGCCCAGCCTCTTGAATCACAAATATTTACGACAGCTAGAATATTTCGAAACACATAACAGATTTTTTTCATCCCAAAACATTATATCTTGTCTGAAGGCAACACAGCAATGCTAAACACTGGAGGAATTCTAGGCTATGAAAGGTCCACAACAACATAATACTTCACGTTAAAGACAAAACAGATCAGATAATTATGCTCGGTGACTTAGTTAATCGCATGTCATCATACTCATAATATGTCATGCTCATGATATCAACCACTGGTCTGTATTTATGCAATGTTGGAATAATGCTGACTGAGAATTTAACAACATTCATTCACTCAGTCCTAAAATGTCAATTTAGCAAATTTCCTTACCCCAACTCCAGCATTTCAAAGTATGCAGAATAAATAATTTTCAAGACCAAAACTGTGCCCATGAATTGCAACAGCTGCTATTACTGTATGTCCACTCTTATCGAATGAAGTAATGAGATCTGTCTACTTCTACCTGCTCCAGCTAGCCTGTGAAATGTCCTGACAGGTGTTTGTTACCCATTAGCCACAATGCACATCATTTGGAGAGACAGTCCGAAAAACAACTACCAGAAAGCATAAATCCACTTAAGCCCTTAATTTAACACTGGCATTAATACAGAAAAAGATGTGGGGGTTGGCCAACACTACAGCTGCACACTTAAAAGCTGGCATTTTTTATTAAAAAAATAATCGCAGAATTAATTGGCTAATACAGCATTTGTTAGAGGTGTCGGAATGCTGCATGAAACTACATGGAGCATACTTCTCTGTCGGCCTGACACATGCATTGGGGGCTTAATTAACAGGGTACACAGGAGGTCTTGAACCTTAGTCTGGGAGTTGGCAAATTGTTTTACATTGTTTATAAATAGAAAATATATATAGGTAAATGTGCATTTGATGCTATTCATTAGTGACAAGCATTTTTAGAGATATACAAACCGATATGCAGCTGACTGCCAAGAAGGAAGCTTGTATCAATCACTGCAACGCTACTTGTAGGCAGATCAAATACACAGGTTCATAAAAGGTACACTGTTTCATGGAATGTCAGGACATTGAGAGGAATTTTTTTTCGAAATTCAGTTACAAATTAAATACACAGCAAGGATAGTCAAA